AAATGATTGTGGCCGATTTGTCCAAAAATGTCATAAATGCCAGGTACATGGAAATCTGATCAAAGTACCACCTCACGAGCTCAATGCGATGAGTTCCCCTTGGCCATTTGTAGCCTGGGGCATTGATGTTATTGGACCGATTGAGCCTGCTGCCTCCAATGGTCATAGGTTCATTTTGGTCGCCATTGATTACTTCACAAAGTGGGTCGAAGCTGCTTCCTACAAAGCTGTGACAAAGAAAGTTGTGGCCGATTTTGTTCGCAACAATTTGATATGTCGTTTTGGAGTTCCAAAGTCTATCATCACAGACAATGGAGTAAATCTGAATAGTCATTTGATGAAAGAGATAGGTGAACAATTCGAAATTACCCACCGTAATTCAACTGCATATCGTTCTCAGATGAATGGAGCTATGGAAGCTGCTAATAAAAACATCAAGAGGATATTGAGAAAGATGATTGACAACTACAAATGTTGGCATGAAAATTTGCATTATTCTTTGCTAAGTTATCGCACCACAATCCGAACCTCAACTGGAGCAACTCCTTACCTATTGGTATACAGAACAGAAGCAGTGATACCAGTTGAAGTTGAGATACCATCTTTAAGGATTATTCAGGAAGCTGGATTGAGCGATGCCGAATGGGTTTGTGACCGATATGAGCAATTGGCATTGATTGATGAGAAAAGAATGAGTGTTGTTTGTCATGGACAGTTGTATCAACAGAGAATGACTCGCGCTTTCAACAAGAAAGTAAGAGTTCGAACATTTGAGGTAGGTCAATTGGTGTTGAAACGCATTTTCCCTCATCAAGAGGAATATAAAGGGAAATTTGCACCTAACTGGCAAGGACCGTATGTCATCCACAAAGTACTATCAAGAGGAGCTTTGGTTCTAGCAGAGATGGACGGTTAGGTTTGGTGCAAAGTTATCAATTCAGATGCCGTTAAGAGATACTTCATTTGAAGGATGACACTTCTTTTCTTTATTTTCTTGCAATTGCAGTTTGCTTGTAATCATCGTCGCATTATGTTTTGAAACATTCCATTTGCACTTGAACTACATTCAACCTGAATTCTCAAGAATGAGATACGTAGGTGGCCTATGTCGGCCTTGGTCGTTTCTTTATCAATTTTCTATTTTTGTCACTTCTCGAGATGGGAACTACGTTTGACCTGATTCTCGCCTCAACGGGATACGTAGGCGCCACAAGAGTTCGGTCATATTCCAATAAGATTTCCATTTCCCCTCACAATGGAAACTGGGACAGAATCTTTGAGAGGACCTCAAAAGTTCTACAAGAAGAGTCATTTCCTACGAACAAGAGTCAATGATCATATCGAAATGTGTAACTGGGAATAATTTTGAGAAGATCTCAAATGCAAGACTACCGTGATCATCAGATCAGTGTTCCAAAACTAACATGTTTTTGTGGATGCAGGGTTGATGTACCGTGAGTTTACGATATTTCTAATACATTTCACTTACAAGTTGTGTGTGTCTAAGGACTTTTTATATTGGTTCTGATGTATTTTTATCATGTTTTGCAGGAAAGATGTTCAGGCGCGAAAGTGTAGAGACAGCTGAAAGAAATGCAGAAGAAAGGCATTCACGGAGGTGATCTACGGACCGTAGATCCATTCACGATCCGTAGGTTATGACCGTAGATCAGCAGGCAAGGCATGGAAGGCAAATCAGGGAAATCTGACCA